AAAGATCTATTGATGCATACCACTGTTTGTTATATTTATAATGTGAACAAAAATGGTGTATGTGGATTGGAGGACAGCCTATGATGTAAATTTGGTGCCAATTTTTAACCATCCCTTCCCTATATAAACACCAACTAGCCAGGTTGTATGCTTTACAATTAATGGAAATGGGTGCTCAAATGAAAAAAGGTTGGGAACCACTGTTTTAGGGAAATCTTTGTAAACACATAACCTATGCCTACATTTAAACTACTATTATATACACCTGCATTAAAAAGGGCAAAATAATAATATAGGGTGGGAAGAGCATGTTAGCAGAGAATTAAGCTAATCATTGTTCAAAGAAACATACATATATGATATAACAGAAACCACCATATTAATGAAACCCAAAAAGGAAAAAATGGAAAGACATTAAAAGAAGACAGGCAGCAAGAATACGATTTTCCCTTTTCTGCATGGACTATTGATCCGTTGGCATTTTGTTAAGTGATAAATATTACACTCAGAATTATTTTGATGTCTCGTCTGATTAACCACTTGCAAAGCCTAGTGCTGTGCTGTGCTGTTTGTGAGTTTAAATGCAGAACAAATGCTGCTAAATAAACATTAACTGTTGTCTGACCAAATATTTGTTGATAAACAAATTTAGTTTTCTAAGACAATATTCTTGATATTTAAAATAAAATAAACTGTCTCATTTTGTAGTTCAATATTCCTGATAAAGCTAGGAGTGCTGGGATTGTGACATATGGATATTTGGTTTCAATGACTGTTGTGCCAATGATGTACTTTTATAAGTGACTGATGGATGGATTGTATGTCATGGATGGCTGTCGGGTGCTGTATGTAATGTGGGTGTCAGATGGGTAACAAGAGATATGAAGTGTGTGTGCTATTAGTGAAATGGGTTTAATGTGCATGCTGTATCTGTCATGCAGAGGGAGCTAGCCAGTATTTTTTATCCAAACCTCCCTTGTTGGTCGGATCAGTCTCATATGCGACTGGCATAGGTTCTCTCTATAATAGCAATAGTGAATATTAATGAGACCCTGAGCGGTTCTCATTAAATGGCAAGCAACTGAGTTTTTATCTATAGGCAGTGTTCTAATATCTTCTGTTTGTGATGTGTGTGCTGCATGTGAAAAATGTGCTATATAGGTGCAGTATTTATTATGATGTTTAAGGACTGAGTGGTGCTACATACTATATGGGTGACTGGTAGGTACTATGTATAATTTTCAAAACATATCTTTCTTGTACACCTGGGCAACATGCTGAAATAATATGTGAAGTGGGTGCAATGTAATATAAAATGCATTGTTCTCTAATATACTCTAGAAAATGTGAATAAACATTTAAAAGCAATAGAAGATGTTTATAAAAGAGAATCAATATTATCGCATTCTGCTGTATAAAAAGTATTACAGAACTTTAAAATGTTTCTTCTTATGAAAAGGGACCCACATGTACTCACTAGAATAGCAGAATTAGAAGTACGCTGTTTACCACTTGACCGCTTTAGAAACCTGCATGAAGAGCCCTCCTTAACCAACCTTGGGTAGACTGAGCCTTTCTGTAGTGCTTCTCTCACAGCCATTGAGACACTGAAAGGACCTTGAAAGCCATTACTTAATATAAAGGTAATATTCAGCATTTGCCATATTCAGCAATTTTATTATAAAATAAATAATGAAAATTGTAACAATTAGTCTGATAAATGCAATTATAGTTTAATTATGGTTAATAATGATAACAGTTTCTACATAATTAAATATCTAACAAAGTTCAAATATTTATGCATGTGCAACTTTTGCCATAGACAAACACATGGCTATAGTAGCTATAATAGGACCTGCCAAAATGGGATACATTGACGTTGTGGCAGGCTTATGCAACGTATGATCATATACTGTAACTAAACCCCCATTATTTTTGTCAAGATTAGGCGTTTAAAAAAAAAAAAAACAACTAGAACTAATAGAATCTGTGATGTATGAAGTTGCTGTTTAGTGGATGAGTGAGTGTGCCGGATCTTCTGTATTGGCTATAGTTGTAAAGAGTTAAAAACCAAAAAAGGCCAAAATTCACAGGAGAATGAGTTCAAAAAACCCTGACTGGATCACTCCCTATTTCAGACATTCTTAAAAATTTCGGATACTTTTGCCTTACATTCGGAATTCACTTTCAATTCACTGAGAGAGTTTATTCACTGATTGGCATAGTGGAGAATTAACAAGTGATTTTTTAAAAGCCATAATAGCTCACCTGGAGAAATTGCTGAGGTTAAGATTTTGCTTTACCATAGTAAATAGTCCATAGTTCTTAATCCCTTGGCAATATTCCACATTTCCTGGATAATTGAACAAACACCAGAATGGAAAATTGACATGTATGCAATCTTTATATGATGTCCTGGATTATAAACAGTACATTTTTGTTAATTAAAATTATGCATTGGTAATTAAATATCAAATTATTTTATGTATAATAGAGGCCAAGATGAAAAATCTTCCATAGCCTGTTTGATAGCAAATAACAAGTAAAATATAAGATTAATCCCAGAAACACCAGCGGGAACTTTCTGAATATGGCATTAATACTCACTGTTGCACCTGGAGCAAGCTACCAGACTATTGCATAACCATGAAGAGGGGAACCTGGGGAGATTTGCATAATTATGTATACATTAGCAGTAGTAGGTTTACTGCAGGTCATCAGTTAATGTAGACTGCAATGTATTACTTAACGAGTCTATTACAAGTGGAATTTTAGGCTTACTGTTTAATTATGTTACAATGAATCCTTTAAACTGGTCCATAAACTACTATGTAATAAACACTGAAAATTAACAGCAAAATAAGACAAATAGCCTTACATATATACATACATACATACATACATGAGTTTTTAGTAGCTTGTTTACTTCTGTTACTTCCTTTTTATGAAAATAAGTCTAGTTTTATAAGAAAAAAAAAAGGGAAAAAGCAGCGTGTTCTTACATTATAGGTATATGTAGTGGTTATGATCCAAAGAGACTTCAGGTACCATCCAGTGGTTTGGGTCAAAATGCTTTGACAAAAACAGCACACTCTTGGTGCCTAGAGCCCCTCTACTACTGCTCAGCTAAACAACAATAATAGGCAGAACGTGTTGTGGATGATTCACTTCTGATAATCACAGCCACTGAGCTACCCATAACTAAAGTAAGAATAATTAGCAAAGTAAAGTCTTGATTTAATATTTTTGGATAAGCTCAAATGATTTTGTATTTTTTGCATAATACTTTCAAATTATTTCATGATTTTGAAAAAAGTATTTTAAATGTTTATCCAACTATATGAAATCATTTAAAAAGCATTTTCAAAAATATTAAATCAGGCCTAAATTTGTTTGCGATAAACAAATTACTTTTGTAGCCGTATCACGCTGTTGAGGTACAAGGCATACCGTTATCATACTTGTGCGTTAGGGCCAATAGGTGTAAGGAAATAGTGTCTCGGTTTGTGAAAAGAAAAGAAAAATAGCTATCATAGTGTGATGGTACCATATCATATTATATAACCAATACACAGATTAATGGCAACAGAGGCAATTTGTTTTCTGCAAAGTAAAGGCACACTGAACAGTAAGGATTACACGTGGACTTGCTGAATTGAGAAGCTTAAAGTAAAGGAATAGTTCATGGGCAGGACAATTTGCAATTTGAGTTTAGTTCACTACAGCTTGGTGTTTAGTGCTTTTACAGGAATGAATTAAAGCATCAATTTAATTAAAATAGAAATGTCAGTTGTTCTTGATGGCTGTACTCGAAAGACTGACACATCTGAAATATTGACCCTTTTGCTCAGTGTTATCTGTTTAACCCTTAAGGACACATGACTTGTGTGACATGTCATGATTCCTTTTTATTCCAGAAGTTTGGTCCTTAAGGGGTTAAAGGACTATGTGAGCTGGTAATTATAATACAATTTGTTTATTTTATGGCTATCCTCATTTTGGAGAAACTCCCCTGCATGTAGTTTAGCAAGTAGACACTTATCCATATGCATTTTAACCAGCAGTCAGAAAACCAATGTATCTTTTTCAATGATGACTAATATTAGTACCTCAGATGTTTACTAACTGTATTTCCAGTGATGTCTCAGTCTGCCTTTGGTATTATATATGTATACCATTAAAGGGACACTATAGTCACCGAGACCACTTCATCGAATTGAAGTGGTCTGGGTACAGTGTCTCAGTTCCACTTAGTCGTGCAATGCAAATCAGGAGTTTTTTGAAAACTGCAATAATTACATTGCAGGACTAAGACTACAGCCATTAGAGGCGCTTCCTGGTTGATAATGAGGACATCCAGCATCAGTAAAATTTCCATAGGAAAGCATTGAAACAATGCATTTCCTATGGGGAGGACCTAAAGTGCTTGTGGCTCTTGGCGCACACGCGTATTTGCTCCCCCCATTGGATGAAGGAGTGCCGACCCAGCACAAAGAGTCATTGCCGCTTGAATCGGGTAAGTGACAACGTTTTGTAACCCTGCCGATGGGAGGGGGGGAATCCCTTTAATCTAAGTCAGACTTTAGGATAAATAGCCTTGGCATTCCAGCTTTATTGAACTAGATGTTACACAATTCTTAGCCAGCATTTTGGTTAAGGTGGATGTCCCTAATGTGTGTCAGCTATATTTCCCATGATGCTCTGGGTTGATTAGGATGACTAAGAATTATGGGAATTTATATTCTTTAAAAAACAACATCAAATGGAATACTGGTTAGCAGTCTCTGCTGCTTTTTTTCTATCAGTTCACTAAAAGGATATGTAAAAATACAAACCAAAAAAACTGACAATATTCATTTAGAGTACTGGCAAGTTTGTACAGCAAGCACGCAGACACGTTTACATGTAAAAGTCAATTGTATTTGTTTAACAAATCCTCTTAAATTGTTTACAATGACTTCTTTCTGTTGTTAATAAATGTGGTTTGTCAGGAAAAAAGTCTGTGTTTGGTGCTCAATGAGCTAAACTGTCTGTTTACTACACAGGGGAGCCCCACCCGCATTGAGTGTAAATGACAGCCCTGTTACTTTGGGTATGCAGTGAAATGCTATCAATACACAGTATATTGTGCAAACAAGACTAGGTCTTGATGGAGTTGGAGATTGATATTTTGGTACTTTCTGAGATTTAATCTGTCTTCTACTTTCCCTGTTTCAGCACCTTTTTTCGTGCTCTGACTGCTATCCATCTGCCTCAGAGAAAGATGGAAAGGAATCAAATTCAGCAGTACTTGGCCAGACTTCATATATTTATAGCCAGAAGGGACAGAATTACGTTGGTTTTCGTTACACTAGCTCTAAGGGCATTCTGAGCAATGAGATGGTGGCCCCTCTGACAGAAAGAGAACATATCTTCATTACCCTTTTAATGCTGCAGCTAGTAATCATTGTTTGAAAGTAGTAATCCTTCCACCCAATTAAAATGCTTGCTGTTAATTACAATGCTAGAGTGGGAACCTTTTCACATAATATTGATTTCATTATATACATAATATGTAGTTTATAGACTACTGACAACTTGTTGGTTACATTCTATCTGTTCTTATTTTAGAGGGATCATATAGAAGACAGTTAGACATGCAATTATTGGAATTTTGGGATTGGAATACAGGCATAAAAATATATATAAATGTTAGGATGACATGTAAGGCAGAACCAACAGAGCACAATGTAATAATAAATGCAATAGTCATTTATAATTCAAAGTATCAGCAGCTTGTCAAATAGTAAGATAGTGATTCATATTGAGCTATATTTGTGATTGTTTACTATCATGACATACTTTATAACAATTCTAGAGCATATGGCATTAACTTTAATAATTAGTATTGGAAATGTAAAAAGGAATACCAATAAATCAGACATATGATTCACTTTGCATAGACTGAGTCAGGGGTCCTCAAACTCCGGCCCCCCAGATGTTGCTGAACTACAACTCCCATGATTCTCTGGCTATCTATGTAATTCAAATAATCATGGGAGTTGTAGTTCAGCAACATCTGGGGGCTGGAGTTCGAGGACCCCTGGACTAAGTGGTATGCTCACCAAACAGCCAAATGGGCTAGTATGGATGCCTTTATTCTTATCCCTCTATAATAAGTCCAGGTATTTAATGAACACCTCAAAGACCACTGGTGTGGTGTTGTGATGTACCTTCTCACTATTGGATCACCCAAGTATTAAAACAGTGTATAAAATAAAGATGTCTCATACCAACAGATGTGGATGATTTGAGTACAGTAGTACGTGGTTGATGTGTAGGTTCCCTTTCCAATATCCATCTCGATTACTGTCATAACATAACACTGGGTGAAGAAAGGCTTCCTGTTTAAGGCCCTGGGGAGTCAGCACAGCTAAATGGACAAGGGCACATGTATGAGTGTGAGGATGGTGCTAGTGATTGGCTGTATGTGTTTAGTGGAGTGGTTATGTGTTTGTAGTGGGGCAGGGATCATCTTACCTCAGTGCCTGTTTGGATTCTGGCCAGCAAACCACTTCCCTCCCACTTCCCTCCCACCCACCCTAGTGGGTCTCTACCTCCCCTGCTCTGTAAGGTAAACTTTCAAGTTACCGAATTGGACATGCCCACCAAGCAAAGAGCCGGTTGGTGGTTAGAGTATTTAAGATGATGGGAATTTGGTTTGGACGAGGGGGGAGGCGAGACACCAGTGGGTAAAGTTTTTGGTGCATAGGCACCTGGTTAAGTTCGTTGGCAAGGATGGTTATTTAAGTTGGAAGCTGTAGGGCAATAAGTGTAAATTTATATGTCAATTATGGTATGTATATATATTTATGTGTTTATTTATATTTGAATTAAAGGAAAATAACAAAGTTCGGATGAGTCCTACAGTTGTAAGTTTTAATAAATGCTGTGGCATGTTTCATCCAATATGCATTGTCTGTCGTTATTGGGGGGATAAGTGGGTAGTCGCTTTACTTTTAGTCGCACCACATTCCCCGCTACGTACATACATGTGTTCTTTAGAAACTCATCCCAGTCACAATAACCACCAAGTTATATAATAACCTCAGAGATCAAATTATCTTCAAAACATTATTTAGCAGAAATATTCATTTCTATGGAGGATCTTCTGTCCACCCATTTACTTTGATATATATGTTAGAAGTGCTACTTTTAAACAGCCAGACAGTAGAGCTGTTACAGTAATGCTGTTTCCTTTTAATGACATAGCAACATGTGCCCCATGCTGATGTCACAGTCAGTCTCGCATTAACTCTTTCAGTGATGGAATGTTCATCAGTCTCACATTAACTCTTTCAGTGATGGAATGTTATTCACTCTAACATTAACTCTTTCAGTTTTGGAATGTTAATCAATCTCACATTAATGTTAGTTATTCTTATATTAAATCTTACAATAACCTTAGAGAGATTTTCTTGACAAATAAGTAAATGGATATTGATAGCCATTTTTTGCTGTGATTTTTCCCAATAACCAGTAATCCCAAGTTTTCACAATAAATTTGGCAATAGGCAAGTTGAATAAAAAGTCAATAATTACATTTGGCAAGACTTGTTTACTAAGGAAAATGTAATATATGGAAGTACAGATATTGAGAATTTGCACATAAATACCAATTTCTTTTCACTATTAATTTTTTGCACATAATCACATGAAACACTTCACATTTTTAGTGCCCAACAAAGTGAATTTATGAGAGATTTACAATGTAATCCTGGGTGACAGGACTGGTCTAGAATTAATGCATGAGAAAGAGATTGAAAATAATAAAACAAAGATGTAGATTTCACATTACTAATACTTGCACATTAAATAAAAAAACACTGGGTGCTTATAAAACATTCAGATCTGTGCTTGTAATAATGTGATGTCAAAATGCATTTTTAAACAAATACTGTAATAGAGAGGATTTGTATATAGCTTAACTTTAATCCTTTGGGTACTGCTCACTAAGCCCTGAGTTTAAACTACCCAGTTAATATTCATTGAAGATAGAACAAACTAAGGCTGAATTCAGGCCATCTCTGTTGAACTTTGCATTACCTCCTTTCCTGGAACAAACAAATATTATTATTAATATAATATAGCACCAACATATTCAGCAGGGCACTGCTATTATAGAAAGGGCTGAGGAAGGCCCTGCTTAAAGAGCTTACAATTTGCGAGGATTTAAAGCATATATTCTACCAGAAATATACATATATTTTCCAATCTCTTGACTCCAGATTCTTTTTCATGCTCTTACACTTTCTTTTATTTTCCCTTATTTGAATTTTTTTTCCCTACACTATACTTTTTAAATATCTAGGATTGGGATCATTGCTTAGCTTGAATTGCTGGTCTGCACATATGTGTTATCGACCAGAGGTAAAATAAACAATGATATTCCACAGTGTTGGGTCTCCTGCTGTTACTTGTCTCAACCTTCTACTTGAGTTTCTACAAGGTTCGTGACTCTTGACTGTTAAAACAGGGGGTTCTGTTCAACAAGGATTTTCTTACAGCACCTGTTTGTTACAGGCGGTGTTGAATAAACCTTCCTTATTTTCCAAATTCCAAAATCGCAAAGCAGACAAGAACTCAAGAGTAGGGTGAGATCATTGACGATGACGTCAGGTGATAAACTGGAATATGAGTTATATACTGCCTTAAGCAGAAGGTTATTTGTGATCTCATACAAGTTATTAGTGTCTGTTACAAAGATCACAGTCACAGGGATCATGACTTTGTTATAAAGCATTGAGGTAACATTTATTGTTATACTGGCTGTATGTCAATGTGAGATATACGGTCTGTGTCAACCAGCTGAAAAAATATTTTATTGTGTTTAAGGCAACCCTAGAGTAAAGGAAACTTGTATTTGTTTGTTTATATGTTATGCTAGTGTTTGATGAGTGCCCAGTAAAATTGTCGAACTGTAGTGTTTATGTTGCTTGGAGTGATCCTTTAAAGAGACAATGTTAGTGCCAAAATCACTACAGCACTATAGCACTATAGCACTATAGTGGTTTTAGTGCACTTTTGAGAAAAGGCAGTGTGTACATTGAATTCTAGGGTCATCTCTTGTGGCTGTCATTTAAAAGGATCCAGAGCAGAAATTTGGGAAGGGCACTACTGAATTTTTGTGAGATTTCATCTTTAGAAAAAGAACCCATACATTTCTACAGTTACAAACATAGATACAGTGGCAAATACCTACATCTACTCTCACACATATACAAATTCATACAACTGACTAAATGCAAATATCAACACCTACATACAGACAAACAGACAGATATATAAAACCAGAAAGAGATACGTGTGCGTATTTATATATACAGATGGCTACAGATATTTCATGGGGTGTTCATTCATTCACCCCTTGCTGCTGACCAGATATAAATGCCCCTGACTTCTCAGGGGGAGCATTTGGCCTGGTGCTCCACCTTCAACCCTAAACCAATTACTGTTGATAGAATACTAAATAATTTTTAACGTTTAATGAACCTGAAGGTGTGAACATGAAATATTAAAAGGTGTCATTGTGTCGGTAAGGATATAACATGCAATGCAATTGCTTATATACATACATACACAAAATTCCTTTTAGAAATGTACACTTGATTGTGTGTACTAGTCTGAAATGAATACACAGTTAAGAAACTCAATGGAGAAATGTACTAACTCTCAATCTAGGAAAACTAGCAAACTAAAGAAATATTGCACTCACATGAATGACCTTGGGTGAATATTGTGGCGGACCCGCTGGCACTCCGACCGAGTACCTCCGCCAATCGATGCTCCTAGGGCTTGCCGAGGACTCCAAGCACTCCAACCGACACCATCAGCACTGCAGACTTATCCCATCCCCCAAGCATGAGCCAAGGCTTCAAGAAAGGGTTAAGCAGGTCTGTTTAATGAGCAAAAGCAACAGCACTCATGCAGCAAAACAACCCCTCCTCAGAGGAAAACAAAATGACAGTTAAAAGGGTCAGACAGAGTTTGAAAATATGACAGTTATTAAGGGTTTAAACTGGTATTCTAAGTGGGGGCGGGGAATAAAGTGCAAAACTGCAGATCCTTTGTCAGAGCATTTAAAGGGCCAGAACCAGTCTAATAAAATCCACTATGCCCAAATAACTTATTTAAAGGGCAAAATCTTCCAGGGGCCATAGTCGCAGGGCAGGAGGCTGGCAATTAGTCCTCTCCAGGCAAAGTGGCAAAGGGCACTTCGTCACACATCTTCTCATTGGGGGGGGAGACTAACCAGGTACCTGACCTGTCAGTCAGTACCTGAGTTAGTCGAGTAGCCCACTCACAACAAACAGTTAACAGAGTAGCCCACCCACAATACACCATTACTGCACCTGGTGATTCCTGGTGTCCGGCTCTGGCCTGTATGTCCCAGGTTGCTGAGGGGAACTAGTGGGCAGAGGCCAGCAGCGCTCTGCCCGGATGCCAGCACTTCTGCTGGGTTGGCCGGTGGGTATTCAGGTTCTGAACAAGAGGGCAAGGGAGGGCAGATGCCGACCGCGCTCTGGCTGGATGCCAGCTCTTCTGCTGTAAGGGGGTCAGTGGAGGCTAACATCTTCTCCACTAAACCCAGTACCGGGTTAGGGGTTGGCTGTGGAGGGGAGGGGTCGCCTACCTCCTTCTTCTGGTACTCCTGCTGCCGCTGGGGAGAGAGCCTGGTTGCCTCCTCTCCCTGGGGCTACAACTGCAGTTGGGGTTCTGGGCCAGCTGCCCAGCATCCCTGTAGGGCCGGTAGAGAGACCTCAGTCCCATTTCCACCTGCCATTTGGGGGTTCTCCCAGTGCCAGTCTATGAGGTCCCCCAGGACTTGGGAATAAGGACCACCTGCCTCCTCTGCCAGTAGCTCCAGGTGCAGTTGGGGATCTGGGCTGACTGCCCAGCATCCCTGTGGGGTGGGTAGAGAGACCTCGGGCCCATCTCCACCTGCCTGTTGGGGTTCCTCACAGGACCAGTCTATGAGGTCCCCTACTTCGGGTACCTCTGGCTGCCTCTGCAGAGAGAGGCTAACCTCCTTTTGTTGGAGGCTTATTTTCCTCGCTTTAGCCAGCAGGAATTCTTGGTCCCTCTTTGCTTCTCTTTCGACGGTTACCTGATTCCAGATCACCTGAAGGTGTCCATGGACACATCAGGGCCATACCAGGCCACTCGCTGCCTCACCTCGGCCAGAAAATCTTCGCAAGAGTCAGAGTATGCCATACTTGCTTGCTCCAAGTCAATGGACACCTCTGCTTCCAGGGGCACTGCACGAATGCTAGCGTTGCCCTCACTATGATCAACACATTAACGGTGTCTCTGAGCTGCTTCTCCTCGCACTAGGACTCCATCCCACCGCTTGCCACCAAATGTGACAGAGTACCTCCATCAATCGATGCTCCTAGTGCTTGCCGAGGACTCTAAGCACTCCAACTGACACCATCAGCACTGCAGACTTATCCCACCCCCCAAGCATGAGCCAAGGCTTCAAATAAGGGTCAAGCAGGTCTGTTTAATGAGCACACAAAAGCAACAGCACTCATGCAGCAAAACAACTCCTCCTCAGAGGAAAACAAAATGACAGTTATAAGGTCAGACAGAGTACAATAAAATCCAATATGCCCAAATAACATTTTTAAAGGGCAAAATCTTCCAGGGGCCATAGTCGATGGGCAGGAGGCTGGCAATTAGTCCTCTCCAGGCACAAGTGGTGAAGGGCACTTCGTCACACAACCTTGGGTGAATATTATTATAGATATATTCATTTATAAAGAAAATTCAATCTTTTGAGAAGTGGAATATTTAAATGACAAGAGACCCAAAAGGTCATTTGAAAAATAAAAGTTCAATTTGGAAGACTTAGTATACTAAACACTGGGTTCACAGATAAGGTTACACCGATTTATACTAAAGAGTTTTTATTTCATACAAAGACTGGAAATGTGACTATTGTATTTCATTTCCATTGTAAAAGTATCTTAAAGCAAGCAGACAGTGGACTTAGCTTTACAAGCTCTGTATTAATTCCAATGGTGGGACTCTCTAGAAGTCCAACTCAGGAGCTCATGTGCAGCTCCACAATGACTCTTGCCAATAATTGAAAATCTATTATACCTATCTATATTTTTATATCAGACAGAGATGAGGCTGCAGAATGACAAAATAAATCAGGATGAAATTTAAACACATTTACAAAAGAGTATCCTACTTTCATAGTAATGATAAAACCAGTGGGCAAATATGGTAATTATTGTCTGAAGGCAACAGTTAATCAACATGTGGGGTAAAGTATGCAAAGTGAAAACATAGCTTAAATGTGAAATTCACTTTCAATTCACCTTGAATTCCTAACAATTCATACTTTAGTAAATAACTCCACAAATGTTCTAAACAAGGCTTACTGCACTTACACAAATGCCAATATACTAAAAAGCAGAGACATACTGGATACTGCACTCACCAAGTAACCTAGGTGCTCTGAAGCCAGGGCTGGCCAGGCCTACCTTCCAAGATATGCAGAATAACGTTGCTGTTTTTGAACCAATAAAACTGCTATTTTTTGTCCCGGAGTGCCTGAACCGTTATATATTCAATGCACTAAAAAGCAACACAGATGTAAAATAGTTAGATTATATATTATAAATATATATGCACATACAAAGCTGGTAAAATAAGTATAAACCCCCATCATATGAACTTGTATGCACGACTTAACTATTACTGACCTATAATACCAGCTAATATACTCTATTATTTTATATGTAGACTTTTTCTGATGCCAGTTTACTTGGTATTTATATACAGTAGTTTTTGTATGTGTTCTAGAAAAAATGATGAAACAATATGCGATAATCCATCTGCAGAGTGGGAAGGGGGCATAAGGCTCTGCTGAGCAAGCAGCCTCAGGATGTTGTTCCGTGCGGAGGAACTTTTATGTCATGTAATCCTAAATAATAAAGAAGTCTTTTTTATCTTGTTGGAGTACTGAAATATCTGCGATAAGGAACAATCAAACATGTATTCAATTTTCTGGCTAATGTTTTTAGTCTATCTTTGCTAA